CGAGACCCCGCGCAGACTCCGCTAGGCGCCCGCGTGGAAAAAAAAAATTGTTTGACCCCCCCCTTTTTCCTCCTCTCCCACGCATCTCCTACCAACGCTATCCTAACCTGCCTTGCTCGAATATATAAGAGCTGCTGTACGAGTATCATCCAGCCTGCCCGTCGATCGTTTCGGAATATTCGGATAATCGACTGACTCGATTCACCCTTATACCCCTGTTATCGATCCGAGATTAGGTTAGAATCGATTAGGATGGGTTACGATGAATTAATAATGGGTTACGGTGGGTTAGGAATGAGTTACCACGGGTTAGGATGAATTACCTGTCCGTTCAGGTACAGGATGTTGGGACCCGGGGAGATCGACGGAGGACATCATTTGAAAGCGAAACTTCCTTTTCCGTTTTCTGCTACGCCGCATAGTTCCCGAGTTACGCCATTCCAAAAAACCGACCAATCAGAGCGCAGGATTTTTATTTCCGCTGTATCTCCGGAACCACGGGTCGTAGAAAAAAACGGTAAAGGAAGTTTCGTCGCGGAATCCGGTCCCCTATCCATCGCGCCGGTCGCGAACCCCCCCTTCCTGAACCGACCCTGTCCGTTCGGGTACCGGAAGTCGAGACCCGGGGGGATCGACGGCGGACATCGTTTGGAAGCGAAACTTCCTTTTCCGTTTTCTCCTACACCGCGTACTTTCCGAGTTACGGCCCTCCAAATAACCGACCAATCAGAGCGCAGCATTTTTATTTCCACTGTATCTCCGAAACCACGGGTCGTAGAAAGAAATGGTAATGGAAGTTTCGCCGCGTAATCCAGTCCCCTATGCATCGCTCCCTGTGCGAACGCCCTCTCCCTGAACCAAGCCAGTCCGTTCGGGTATGCACATTCATATCATGACGGAAAGGAGACATGGGATGTTCCTACGAAGGTCTGCTTTGCATCGTACCCTGGATACGAAGGTATCTCGGCCACTTTGAATGACCACCCCTCAGGCGTTCAAAGCTCGTGGCGCCACGCGATAGGACTGACGCGCGCATACCCTAGCGGCGCACCAGCGAACTCGGCCCCCGCAGGGCGTCTCGGGCGGAAGTAACGCTTCGGCCATCTTGCGTTCACTCGCTTCGGCTGTGCTCGGCCATTTTTGTTGCGTCGACGTCAAGTGCTGCCCTTTGGAGCCTTTCTCTCTCAGTCCCGACGTTGGACACACAGTGGACGGAGCTTGTTTCGTGTCGGTATATCGTGCGGCAGGCGGCCGATACGCGTCTCCTACTCTGCGATTGAAGGTCGAAGACACCGTTCCGGCGATCACCGCGACTCGGGCCACGGGTCTTTTCCACTGGATCCATTGACCAGCCAAGAGCCTACAAGAGAGCGCTTCCAAGCAGAGCCACGAAAACTACGCACCGAGGCGGAGTAATATGAGTAATGCAGCCAACCAGAATGGATCAGGTCTAGAGCAGCAGGTACGCCGCGCGAACTCGCGATTCTCCTGCGGACGGTCGGATTTTCGACCGATGCTCGGGAACAATGGGACTCGTTCCGCCTGACCCCGTCTGACAACCGTCGAGCCTCCTACCTCCCGCCATGCGCCTCTCGTACGTCGCCTCCAAGTTTGTTCTCTTGTAGGCGGGATACCGAGATCCGGGACGGCTTCCGGAGAGTTCTGGATGGTTCGACGGGCCGCGAGGTGGCCCGACCTCGAGGCGGCCGTAGAGTCCCGCGAGACCCCGTTAGGAGGTCTAATGGCGGATCCGTTAGCGACCGATCTCGGGGCTTTGCGCGTCGGCTGTCGGAACCTCCTACTCCCTCTCGATTCTCTCTCGATTTCTCGGCCGTCGATTGTGGATTCTCGAGCGATTTCGTCCGAGTCCGCTTATTTCGATGAAGGGGCGCGACTCACGGTTTCTCGTTCCACCTGACTCTTTGCACCTGGTCGCGCGTCCCGCCGCCAAACTAGCTGCTCGGATTCTTGCCAGAAATTCGCAGGTTTTTTATCGCTTACTCTACCGTGGCCATAAGGGATTTCACAACGAGGTCCTTTCACTTCCGAAGTAGGTTGTAAATGACGATCGAGGCTCGAGATTAATGGACGTCGTATGGATCCCAAGTTTTGTGCGGTTTTACAAGTTTGACGTTACGTGTTCATTTTTTCTCCTTTCATCGTTTCAGCTAGCTGGTCTGGACTTGCAGGGCTCCCGCCAACCGAGTGGGGGTCGCTACGTGCCACCGCATTTGCGCAGTAAATCTGGAAGTAAGTACTTACTGGAAAGGTTGGCGTACGTCATGTTCGAATCGATTTCTCTGTAAAGGATGATTATCGGTCACTGTTAAATGAAGGCTTAGCGTATTTAGCAAATCGAATAAAATCATCTAAACATGGTATCGAGCCGATTGGCTTTTTGTCAAATGAGAAACATAGGTTATGATACGGGTACGACAAAAAAACTGGTTTAATATGAAACGATACGAGGAGCACCGCATCTTGCTTAACATCTGGTTTTAGATGATGCGATGTCGTCCACTTATGTATACGTATTCTTTACTGATCGTTTACCTCTCGGACTCTTAGGGCAAAGAACAAGCTTTTCAAAGTTTCGGCGTGTTCCAGAGATCATACGAGAGAAGAATGATCCTTACGTCAACGAACGGATTAGCGTCACTTAAAATTAGGTGCTCCGACGAATCTAAATAATTGTACTCGGTAAAAGTAACTACTTTCTACGGTCCAATGTTAAAACGAGAAACGTATCCTGCTCTCCGTAAGCGGTAGTACTCCAGACATACGTTACCCGATCACCGGTAATGGATAATTATTCGTCTATGAAGTAGCTAACGCGTAATTGACAAGAAATCGGTACTCGGGTGCCAAAGGTCATCGCGGTTATCCACCTTTCTAAGCTATAATTACTACTCTACCAGATGCTGCCGGACAACCAAGATATGATCCTGATCGTTCTTCCCCTGTACTCTACAATTATGAAAGCAGCCATGAAATACCATTAGAAAGTATGTACAAAACCCCGGAGACGTCCCCGTTTGTCTCTATGAGCACCCGGCGAGGAAAGACCACCGCGGAGCACAGTCGAGATCGGTCGGTTCGAAGGCGGACCAGGTCGAGTCGGGTCCTCAAAGGGCGAACGGGTTCCTTTGAGACGTAGAGGCATAAGAGAGCGTCGGCCCGCGAGAACAGACGTTAACGGCGAGTGCGTCTCGTTCCCAGGCAACGCGCCGTCCAGCGGTGAGCACCAGTCGACGCTGAACGCCCGGCCGTTCCCGGAGCGAGACCGAGGCGGTGACCGGGACAGGGACAGAGGCCGAGGCGGCGGCGGCAGCGGCGGCGGCGGCGGCGGCGGCGCCGCTCCTGCCCCGGGACCCGGGTACAGGGACGGTCGGGGCGGCCACGACGTCGACTTTGGCAACTTCGGAGGACGCAACCGGCGCAATGTCGGCCAGGAGAACGGGCGCGACTTCCGGTACCCGGGCGGCGTCGACCGACCCTTCGGCGGCGGCACGGGCAACGACCGGTGGCAGGAGCAGCCCAGAAACGACCGCTGGCAGGAGAGCAGGAGCGACGTCCGAATGGGCAGTGGCGGCGGCGGCGGCGGTGGCGGTGGCGGTGGCGGAGGCGGCGGCCGATGGAAGGACGACCGCGAGGGCGGCGGCGGCGGCGGTGGCGGCGGCGGCCGCGGCGGCCGTGGCGAGGTCGACTGGACCATTCCGACCACCAGGGACGAGAGGCTCGAGATGGAGCTCTTCGGGACAGGCAACACCGGCATCAACTTTAGCAAATACGAGGATATCCCGGTCGAGGCCACGGGCGACAACATACCACCGCACATCACATCCGTGGGTGTCGCCTTCTCGTCTGGAGTGGGCCGAGCGTCCCGGGCTCGAGACGACGCCGAGCGGAGAGGCGCCCGTCTCGAATCCGACGCTCGTCCCCGAGCCATCCTACACCGGGTACTCACGTCCAATTCTGCTTCTAGTTTGACGAGGTTAAGCTGACGGAGATCATAAAGAACAGCATCAGTTTGGCGGGATACGACAAGCCAACGCCGGTCCAGAAGTACGCGATCCCGATCATAATCGGGCGTCGCGACGTGATGGCTTGCGCCCAGACCGGGTCCGGGAAGACAGCGGCTTTCCTGGTGCCGATTCTGAACCAGATCTACGAGTGCGGTCCGCGTCCGCCCCCGATCCAGGCTAGCGCCTCCGGGAGGCGCAAGCAGTATCCCCTGGGGCTGGTGCTGGCTCCGACTAGGGAATTGGCCACGCAGATCTACGACGAGGCGCGTAAGTTCGCCTATCGCTCCCGGATGCGCCCTGCCGTTGTCTACGGGGGGTCCAACATTGGCGACCAGATGCGAGAGCTCGATCGCGGCTGTCACCTCCTCGTAGCGACGCCCGGCCGCTTGGTGGACATGCTCGGTCGCGGAAAGATTGGCTTGCAGAACTGCCGGTGAGTGTCCTGGATTGATCCCATCGATCCCGGTCATCGAGCCTGCAGAGAAGCCTGACCGATGGGCTCGATTCCGTTTCAGGTACTTGGTCCTGGACGAAGCGGATCGCATGCTCGACATGGGTTTCGAACCGCAGATCCGACGTATCGTCGAGGAGGACGCCATGCCGCCCACTGGCGAGAGGCAGACCCTCATGTTCTCCGCCACCTTCCCCAAGGAGATTCAGATGTTGGCCCGAGACTTCCTAAGCAACTACATCTTCCTAGCAGTCGGACGCGTTGGCTCCACCTCCGAGAACATCACGCAGAAGATCGTCTGGGTGGAAGATCACGACAAGCGCTCCTACCTGCTCGACCTGCTGCAAGCGAGTAACCTCTCGGAGATCTGTAAGTAAGCGCGCTTTGCTCCCGTGGGGGGTGCCCCACCTTTCGCCGTCCTTTCTAATCCTTCGGGGAACTGTTCAAAGCGAGCGACGGGTCAACCTCGGAAGCCCTGACCCTGGTGTTCGTGGAAACGAAGAAGGGCGCGGACACGCTCGAAGAGTTCCTGCACCAGATGGGCTACCCGGTGACCAGCATCCACGGAGACCGCACCCAGCGCGAGCGTGAGGACGCCTTGCGCCGCTTCCGGGCGGGCAAGGCGCCCATCCTGGTGGCCACGGCCGTGGCCGCGCGCGGCCTCGACATTCCTCACGTGAAGCACGTCATTAACTTCGACCTACCCAGCGATGTCGAGGAGTACGTCCACCGCATCGGCCGTACCGGCCGAATGGGGAACCTGGGTGAGTGCGTCTCCGCGACCGCCCCGGACCTCCTGCCGGCCCCTCTCTCACACGAGCCCTCTGCCCCCATTCAGGTCTGGCCACGTCCTTCTTCAACAACAAGAACCACAACCTGGTGCGCGACCTAGTGTCACTGCTGATCGAGGCCAACCAGGAGCTGCCGTCCTGGCTCGACAGCATGTTCGCCGAGGCTAGACACTCTGGAGGCGGCGGCCGACGACCGGGGGCTCCCAAGAGCGGTGGCGGCCGCTTCAGCGGCTTCGGGGCCAGGGACTATCGCCAGCAGCCCAGCTCCGGACCCATCCGAAGCAACGGCCCCTCCAGACCCGGAGGTTACGGAGGTGAGGGTTCGTATTCCGCAATTTGGTTTACGGCCGCGCGGAGGCGGGGTGGATCCGGAGCGGATCGGATCGGATCGGCCGCCGATCTACCGGCGATCGCTCCTGTATCGATCCATTCTGTTTTCAGGTTACGGTGGCTACGGAGGTAACACTTACAATTCCTCGTACAACACCTCGGCCAACAACGGCAGCAGCAACGGTCCCGACTGGTGGGACAAGTAGACGTTATTACCGACTCCCAACGCCACTAATTATTACTACCATTAACTACTACTCTACACGCAAATTCAATTATATGTAAGAGAGGACGCGCGAACACTCGCCCACGTTAGACAAGGATGGCGCGCGCACGTACCGCGAGGAAGAGCGAGACGAGCGAGACGAGAGGGAGAGGGAGAGGGAGAGGGAGAGGGAGTGAGAGTGAGAAGAGCGAGAGGACGCGTGTAGCCGCGCGCGCGCGCATACACACACAAGGTACCATCCGACGACTCGTCACCGGACCGACTCGTGCCGACCGACTAGGTCCGAGGTGGAGGAGCGAGGATTCTCCTGGAGAGGGCCGTGAGTCGTTATCGATCGTTGCCGCTTTCCGCGGGGGAACGAGCATCGAACTCGGTCGAGGGGAGGGCACGGTCTCTTAGGGTTTTCCTGTCGAGGCTGCAGGGCTCGTTGTGACTTTATTTAATTTAATAAATTTGTAGATGAAGTCGACGAACGTGGGACGGGGTGATGCGGCGGCGCCACTCGATTACGACCGTCCCCCTTCGGTGTCACGCCGAGGACGGCCGGGCCTCGGGCCGACGAGCTCAGTTTCTCGAGTTTTTCGCGGTCCTCCGCATGATCCCGTACGCACGCGAGTCAATGCATCAGAAGTATGTTCCGTAAAGTGTTCTTCGTTCTTTCAACTCACGATTTGTCGACTGACGGGTACGTTTCGTTAGTTTCACTTCCGTCGTCGAGTCCGCGACGACCGCCGTCTTTGATTTACTCTTCTTTCCCCCCTCGTTTTCGGAGAATCGTTAGGCCCGCTTCAGCGTTGCGATCGACGGAGAAATAAAGTCATTATCGAGTACGTTTTGCGGGTGGTTAGCTGGCTGATCTCGTTGCATCGGTCGTGTCAACCATTAGCGAGAAATTGGATCGAATGGGGGGTTGCCCTGCTTTCTTTCTTTCTTTCTTTCTTTCTCATTTCCCTTTTTTAGTTTCAAGTATAAACCAGGTTGTCGCGTTGGTACCGACCGATCGTAAAGTCAGACTACCGAAAGGGTGACCTTTTTGTTTCCGGTTCAGTGCGAAGAAATGCACTTTTGACAATTGTTAGCGTGCGTGGCAATAATCAACGTGGAATTCAATTAACGTTAGACATTGGTCGAATTAACAATTGCCGATATTGAATTTGCAATCGTTTGAGGTCGGATAGCCGAGAGCGTTAGCTTTTGGATTCTTTCATGTCGTTATTTTGTGAGGGTGACTTCCATTCGGGGAACTTCGGGTATATATAAAAAAAGGGAAGACATTAATTAATCAATCAATCAATCAATCAATCAATCGGTACTGCCAGTTAAACGAGAAATCTACTAAAATGTGGATAAAGCAACAGGGAGAACGAAATGGAATGCATGAAAATCTTTCAAGCATAAGCTGCCCTAACGATTAGGAAAAGAAATATTCTCCTCGGGGTCGGTCATAATTAACATCGACCGTATTGCCAAAATCCGTAAAACTCGAGTTGACTTAATCATGTTCCGACGAAACGAGATTTAAACGACGTCGCCAATAAAACGTGGGTAATAGAGATTACGCGGATTAAAGGGAATAGCTCGATAAGGTTCGAGGCGCGTTCGTATTGATATTTTATAACTATATTTATCATCACGCTATGTTACACATACGTCTATATATAAACCGATTAAGTAATAATCGTAAATACATAAAGTTGAAGTAACTAAAATGCAAAACATAAAGCGACTGTGATATCGAGCGATCTGGGGACACTTATTTTACGATAGTCCGCGAAGTCGGGACGGGTGGAGATTATTAGGAAAAATATTACACATGTTAAAGAAATTGGGATTTTAATTCTTCGGAAGATCGCCATTCTACGTAGATTCATGAGGTAGTTTCTACACATACGTCCTATGGACTACAACGGTTACATTATCAATTAGTTAACTGGCAGTCGAGGAATTGCGTTAATCGTTTAATTAGAGCCATTTAATTTACAATGAATAAGCTAATAATTAGGTCAACAGTGTTGAGGTTTTCGGTCCTTTTTTTATTGGTAATTCAACAGCTGTAAAAGCTGGGAAGAGAATTTATTAATAGGACATAACGTAAAATTGTATGCCGTTCGTTGGCGGATCAGTCGTTAAATATTTACGTTGAAAGGATATAAATTGTCGGGACTTAATAGTTTCACGTATATATCGCGAAATTTCAAGTTACTCGGTCGTTGTCCATCTTTGGAAGAATTGGCGGCACACACCTCTGATGTATTTTACCGAGTTAAACGAAAGGCGCCCTCTCTGCAGATAAGTACAATTTTTTCTATATTAAATGTGCATATCACGGATAAGTTCAAGTGTTCCGAGTTGCTGCAATGCAAATGATTTACGTCACGCCCTGGGCGTGAAATGAGAAAATTGTATTTATCGTTTACGGCAGAACTTGAAATCTAAACGGGAATATTCTCTGTAAGCGTATTAAATACCGGGAGGAAGGAGGATTCAGGGCTACTGTGACCGCAGTCGCGATAGAGAGAAATTACAGCGACGGATCGTTACGGTCTATGCACAAATGATTAGGAAGAAACAACGAAAGCAAACCTGTGTTGAGAATATTTCAATAGGAAGTTCGAATGCCAACGCGTCGAGTTGAAACGATGCACGGGCGGTGCGGAATCGTGCAAGATAGTTGCATCGATGATACAACGACGTTTGCCGAGGTGTCGCGTTAGGTGTAGAGTATACGCGACTATACGGAATCGGTTGTTGGTCATTGGTCAGGTCGTAACGTTGGGGTAAAGTATCGAAATAACGAAGCATGGGGAGTAGGCCGGAGAATTTCGAAAAAGTGTAGATCGTCGAAAGGCTATTTCTTCCGAGGAGCTGCGTCTGGTTCTCTGAATTACATTGGTTACAGCAACGACTTCGCCTTACAATAGACGCAACTGTCGGTGGGAAAAGGCTCGAACATTGAGTGGAGTTTGTCCGTTAATTTGACAAACAAGTGATTCGGGCCGATTTCCGCAGTTGCGAGTTAGGCGTGGTCCTTGAACAAATTGCCAGTTATTAAACAAAAAGTCGCCGGTAGATAAAATGCGAAACACGTCCACAGAGCGAGGAAGGAAGGGAGGGAGGGAGGAAGGAAAGAACAGAAAAATGAGATGCACGATGGAGGGTTCCTTGTCGAAATCAGGTTGAACGATTAAACGAAACGTCCCTTTTGAGAAGTGCGTCGACGGTCGCGTAAAGTAACGGAGATGTAAAGTCACCCTTTGAACCGATTGGATTTTCGTCGTCGTTATCTGTAGGCAAATTTAGTACCATTTAACCAAAGGTCCATCCGTTTCTCTATGGTTACGTCGTAGGCCTCGATTAGATCCGAGTCGATTCGTTCGTAGGCTCGGCTGAGCGACGATGGAATCCTAAGGATGACGATTTAGACTGGACGAACGCGGTCGATTCTTTCGGTTAGCGAAAAACCCTGCATATTTACATACGGCACACGGGAACGAGGAGAAGCTGCGACAGCGAATCTCGATTCACTGGCGGAAATTTTAACGATAAATCAAAACAAAAGGAGACGTACCGACGATGAGGTACCTCGGAGGACGACGAGACAGTGATAACTAACTGCATTTACGGTTAAGTGAAACCTACGTATAGCGATTATCGCGTGTCATAGGTCATTGCGTAGAGACGCGTCCGTACGGAGATTGAGTTAGTTGGCACGGAAAGCTCCCACTTTTCCTTCAGGATCTTCTTTCACCATGGAAGCCCTATTTTTCGCGAAAGGTCACGTCGGAGTGACCGTCGGAGTGACCGTCGGAGTGCCGAAGAGACGACGCTGTCGATTCGTAGAATTTATTATCATTACGACGCGATTAACGCGCCGTGAAGCGGTCTCGTGCCGACTCGGCGATCTGTACGTTTCTAGTATTACGCAAACAGTGGCTGGAGAAGTCTAGAAAATGAATCGTATAAATAAAGGTGGAAGAAAGAAAACAACAGCAGTTCTCTGTGTCTGGGGTGTGTTTCTCGACATTTCGTATTCACGATTTACGAGAGCATTATGTCTTAATACTTCCTCGGAAATTGCTGCTTCGAGAACGTCTGGAATAATTAGAAACACTTGCCTTTAGTACGATGGGTTTCGGACCGCAACGTATTTCGAGTTGTCATTCTGCTCGGGGAACCGGCGCCCTTTTCAATTTACCGCACTTCGAGTTATCCTTGCTCGGTATGGGGTCGATTCTGTATTTTCGATGAGAGTGCTCGTTTCTCGCCTCGTCATCTCGCGTGAGCCTATTTACCCGATTCCACATCTGCCGAGTGAAAACGTGAAATTTGTACGGAATCGACTCCCTCGAGCTCCCTCCAGTCCAATTCGGACAAGGTTCGGAGAGGTTAAGATAGGCTCGCACAGCCTCGCCGTTGGCTGCAACTAATAAGCGAAGAGGATTTTTCGTCACCGCGGCGCTTCGGCAGCATCCAACTGCATCCAACGGTGTTGGATTTCGGCATATTCTTATGTCCATGAATTTCGGCCGAGTAGGAGCGACATGGAGCGACAGCAAATACAAACTAGAGGGTGGGGAAAAGGTTGATGCTGATCGGACCAATCACGGAAGACCACGATCGCAATGGCGGCGTGGCTCGTTCGTTTCGCAGTTTGGGAGATAGACTGGTGACCCACAAGGTGCGTGAGGTTCTTCTGGAGACTGTCAAATCGGCCGGATTGAATTTCGGAGACGCGTATGTACAGCCATGTATCGTTGCGGACTGCTGCTAGTCCTGCTGGATTTTTCTTTCAACGGTAAGTGTTCCTAACCTTTTCTTAGGTTATCGCCCTCCGACCGAATTGTAATGCAGTAACCGCGTTTTCTTCCTCGTAGTTGCAGTGAGCATCTCTCAACCGGAAATCGACCGGCACTTGGAACTAGGAAGAGAATATCTGGCGAGAGGACAGTTTCAGGATGCTCTGTCTCAATATCACGCCGCTCTTGGTAAATTCGGTTCCACTTATCGACGTTATCATCGGCTTGTTATTCACTTGCATAGATTGCTGCTCTGAATTTCATGCTTCGTTTAAACGCTAGGTTATCCTAGTTATAGAGTATGTGTTTTGCAGAGGGTGACCCGAACGATTATCTGACGTATTACAAGAGAAGCACCATATATTTAGCTCTTGGAAAATCTAAAATGGCCCTTCTCGATCTGGATAAGGTTCTGGAGTTGAAGTCGGATTTTATGGTAGCGAGGTTACAGCGTGGGAACATTTTATTAAAACAGGCCGAGTTCGAGGCAGCCAAAATAGATCTTCTTGACTCGGTAGGTTACGCGTTATGGATATAAAATGATGCGATCCGTGCGCAAAGTATACGGGATTAAACTAGTTGGTTTCTTTTAGTTAGCGGTGGATCCAAACAATGAGGATGCCTTGAATACCCTTTATACGATCGAACCATTACAAATGGATGTCGAATCTGCAGAAATGTTAGTTCATAGACAAGATTACCTTGCCGCAGTGCAACTTCTGAACAAAATTATCGAAGCTTGCCCATGGGCTCCGTATCTTAGAGAACTCAGGGCAGAAAGTCACGCCGCTCTAGGTCAGCATCAAAATGCTGTGTCCGATATTCGATTGACCACGAAATTACTCGTAGACAATACCGAAGGCTTTTACAAGTTAGCATCCATGTTATATAACCTCGGAGAGGTCAAAGAATCTTTGAAGTAAGCGCGTAACATCACACGTAACATGTCCTACGCTCTAGGGACGTAACTAAAAGTTTTCCCGTTATGTTTCATTTTACAGAGAGATAAGGGAATGTTTAAAATTGGATCCAGAGCACAAGGAGTGCTTTCCATTTTATAAAAAAATTAAGAAAGTTGCCAAGTGTCTAGAGGATGCTGAGATCGCAGAGGAACTGAAGCAGCACGAAGACTGCATCGATGCGGCTCAGCGAATTCTGAAAGCCGAGCCCCACATGCTGATGGTACGTCTGCCTGCGTTGCAGTACCTTTGCAAATGCTACGCTGCAAATGGTAAGACGACCGAAGCCATCGGTAGCTGTCAAGATGCATTGAACATACGCCATGATCCGGAAACACTTTGCAACGCCGCAGAGGCATATCTTTCCGGGGACATGTTCGACGATGGTAAGTCGTTGCATTTTTGTGAATCCGATTCCAAAAGAAAAATGATTAATAACTCGTGCGTCCGTTCTGTCTCAATTAGCGATACGGGAGTTCAAGAGAGCATTAGATGTAGATCCTGATTTCCATCGGGCAAAGGAGGGTCTTCAGAAGGCTCAACAGCGACAGAAAATTTCTGAGACGCGCGACTACTACAAGATCCTGGACGTGCCGCGAACGGCGTCCAAACGCGACATCATCAAGGCTTACAGAAAAGCCGCACAGCGATGGCATCCCGATAACTTCCAGGAAGGCGACGAGAAGAAACGCGCCCAGAAAAAGTTCATTGACATCGCGGCCGCGAAGGAGGTCCTCACCGACGAGGAGAAGAGAGCCAAGTTCGACAGAGGCGAAGACCCCCTGGACCCCGAGTCAGGGAAACATCCACACGGGTTCAATCCCTTCCAGGAGTTCCATCAGTTCCACGGATCGCCCTTCCAGTTCAAATTCCATTTTAACTAGACCGTATGCACTGGTTGACCAAAGTAAGCATCCAGCGATCCGCGCGTCGTCGAAGAGGCTCGTTGCGCCTCGACTTTGCACGAAACTCGAAAAGCCTCCTACGAGTGGTCTCGTGTCTCAGGAAGCAAACGGAGTCGATCGCGTACGCGAAAACGCGGTGTAACCGAATATGGGAAAGATAACGAGGTCTATGCCAGGGTTGGTTCGGTCTTCAATTCACTCGCACGAACGCGGGAACGCGTGCGCGTGGACGCGCCCACGAGAACGGTCTACGTTCTTTGCTTGACTTTGCTTGACGCGTCAACTCAGAATGTACCACGGTCATGTCCTTTGACACCGACCAGTCTGATAGTGCGTTTAGTGCGTTCGCTGGCAAAGATACTCATTATATTTTTTGTATTTAACGTCTTCGTACTTTCTGAGTGTACACGATGCCGGATCGGGCTACGCGTGTAGCAGTTGCGCTCAAACTTGTTCGTTCCGCTGCACTTTGCAGCAACAGTGCTAGTCGAAGCGGGTTCAAGACGATTGCAGGTTTCGTTGAGAGGATTTCGATTGCAGGTTTCGTGATCGTCGACACGGACTAGAATATCATCGATTTCGACCCGATGACAGTGGGAGGAACAGGTGCGCGCTTCTTTCAGAGTCGAACCGCGCAGTTTCTCTCGCAATTTTCACGCACGATAACGCAGGGCTGCCAGTCAGCGCTCTTCGACTAATTCGAGCGATGATAAATCAGTCCGCGCGAAAGATTTATAAACTTAATTGCCATTAGTACGTTTACACATGCTTCACATCGATTTTTTAACTACTGGTGTTAAACGTCATACAACAGCGGATAACGCAAAACCGACTCCAGTCTGTGTAGCAGCGGTGCGCAGACAGAAATCTTCGCGAGCACGATGAAACTTATTTCACCCCACACGGGTAATACTACTACTACTACCACCACCACTACTGCTGCTGCTGCTGCTGCTGCTGCTATTTTCAAGGTTATAAAACTGGTGCAAGATGGCACGTGTAAATGAACTTATAGATTTTAGAAGAAATACCGAATTTACGATACGCGTACGTTACGTCTGCTCTTATCGTAATTTCAGAACATGTGTAAATACCGTAACATCCAATAATTGTTTCAAAATATATTTGAATATAATTTATACAAACACCAAATAAAAATTTTAAATAACCATTCCTTTTCGGCAGAGATGAGTTGGGAGATTGCTCACGGGCAGGGTCGCGTGATTGTGGGGATCCCTTGGGGGCAAAAAACGGTGAAAGCTAAAGTACGAAACCAGAGGGCAGCACAGAATGCGATCGCACGATCCTGCCCCTGAGCAATCTCCCAACTCATCTCTGATTTAACAGATAAACCCAGAGATGAGTTGGGAGATTGCTCACGGGCAGGATCGTGCGATTGCATCCTGTGCTGCCCTCTGGTTTCGTACGTTAGCTTTCACCGTTTTTTG